ACCACACCATTAACATTGGCAAAGAGGGCCAGCATGACGTCTTTGGAGATATGTCCTTCTTCCAGGGGAACTATGAGTTACTGCCTGGAAACCAGGAGAAAGCTCGCCTGGGCCAGTTCCCCGGGCATCACGAGTTCTTTCGAGACAACAGCACCTCAGACTCCATGTTCATTGAAACACCCTCCCCAGTGCTCAAAAACACCATCTCCCTCCCCACTACTGGAGGTTCCCAAGCGCTCATGTTGCCCTTACTGTCACCAGTGACGTTTAATTCCAAACAGGAGTCCTTTGGGCCGACAAAGCTACCCAGGCTCAGCTGCGAGCCTGTCAGAGAGGAAAAAGCTCAGGAGGAAAGCAGCCTGTTGGGAAATGGGACCATCCACCAGGCGACGCCTTGTGGGGCTCCAGCGGCTCGGCCTCGCGCTCCAGCCAGGGCAGGCACAGCCACTCCTCCAGCTTGTCCGAACAGTACACCGACTGGCCAGCCAAGGACACGTTTGACCATCCTGCCCTGTGCGGGGTAAGGAAGGGAAAGACTACGTCCGAGGAGTCCCTCTCTGACCTGACCGGTTCTCTCCTCTCCCTACAGCTCGATCTGGGGCTTTCGCCTTTGGATCAGGTGCTGAACGTCATGGATAAAAATATGTAACAGGATGCTCTTTCTGCTTTGGGGCAAAAGGTCCTACAAGAAAGAAAGGAAAAAAGTAACCGCAGTTGAGGGAAAGAGCTTCCCTGGCTGTTTTTTTGCAATCTTGTGTTGCATTTTCTAGAATAATATTACTATTCCTATAAAATATTTTTTTAAGTGTTTGCAAAAGTCATTTAGGAAAAAAATAACAACAAAAATCCTGTCCTGGCAGAAAGAGAAAGTGAGTCCGAGCCCATTTTCAGCAGGCCCTGCTGACGTTCAGCTCAAGCTTTCTTGTTTGCAGACGCCGTAAGAAGTCCAGCCGGGCGGGGTTGGCGCTGGCCGGGAGGGGCTGGCTTAGTCCTGCGAGGAACCTGGCAGCACTCTGACATTTTTCTGAGCATTAGAGACTGAAAATGTATTTAACACCTAAGCCTTTTTTCTAGACTCTTTTTTAAATTCAATGGTTTGGGCTCACGAGTTTGCCAGTGTTAAAACTTCTCTGTGTTTTCATATTTGAGCAACTTTAATGGGTTTTGGGTGTTTCCGTGTAGTTCTTAAGTATCTCTTATATATTATACTGTATCTATATTGCAAACTTTTGACTGTCAGCTCCATGTTGGTAAGACACAAGGTATTATGGTAACTAAGTTATTTTTAAAGTTAAAATATATTTTTATGTGCCTTTGGCTTTTTATTGCAGAGTCTACATTTTAGAGGTAACACATCAAATGTCATTTACTTGTTTCCGTAGCAGTTCCATTGTAAACTATGGCTATGTGTGTTTGGGAAGATGTATTCATACTTAGCTTTTTGTTTTCTTTCTTCCTCATCTGTTACCATCCTTCCAACAGCAGTCAACAGTGCATTGTTAAGTAAAAAGGCGCAGGTTACTCATAATACTTCTACAGAGACTGGGGGCTACGCTGTGTAATGTTATTTTGGAAATATGGGTATTTTAGTACAGTAAATTTTGCATTACTTAAGTACGTCATACAACACAATAAAGACTAAATGTTAAAAAAAATCACAAGCTGGCAAAACCATTTGAATGAAACTGAAAATAGACTTTCAGTTCTTGAAGACACCATTGCAGCTAGTGAAAAGGTAAGAAAAGATCTCATAAAATCAATTAGGATGCAGGAAAAAAAATTCAACATCTGCAAGACAAGGCAAAGATGAACAATGTAAGACTAAGATTTATACTGCATCTCTGACTTGTAATCTACTGAGAAGACATGTATATTTTCTCCTAGTATTAGAAACTTTAAAAAGTGTATTTCCATTTTCCAATGACTTTATTTTACTTCTTCTTTGTCTTTTACATGCACACACACACACACACACACACACACACATATACACACATATATACATGTAACAATATGTGTATAACCTGACATAAGATTGATACTGTTTTGTAGACATCTTCAATGGCCTTTTAAATGGGTTCATCTATTTTACACAGTCCTGCATAACTACTATTTTGAGAGTTCTTTATTCTTTATCCAGGACCATACAGCAACTTCTCTTGCCTTCTGGATTATGCTCTTTCTTATTTTCTGTATGCCACGTCCAGAGGTATTTGAATATTTTGAGTTGTATAACTGGGAAATATTTTACTTTTAGTTTTCAAAGATCTATTTTCTAAGTATAAAATTCAGTGAGGACAGATTTTTTTCTTTCAATCCTTTGAATTAATTAATCTAGTTTCTTACAGATTTGCTCTTTTTTTTTCTAATGTGGAATAAGATGCTATTTAATTTTGTTCTTCCATAGCTAATTTTTTATGTATATGCTTTATTTTTTTTTTCTTTACAATGAGTTTTGGATAATCTCATTTTTGTGTATCTTGGTATGGTTTTATTCAAATTTCTTGTACAAAACATTCATTTTTCTTGGAAATGCTACAATTTCAACTAAATTCAGAAAATTTTAAATCTTTAAATATTTATTGCCTACCCCTTTCTACTTTGAGAATTCTAATTATATGAATATAAGTTTCTTGATTTTGGCACAGAGTAAACTATTATATGACTGATCTGTAAGTTCGTTCTTCTTTTTTTTTTTTTTTTTGGACAATTTTTATTGTTACATTCATTTAAGTTTGTAAATAATTTATTTACAATAAGCAATCTATTATTAATCTTATGCTATGTATTCATTTCAGAAATATTTCTCTAGGGCCAGCCAAATAGCTCATTGGATTAAAGCACCTGCTTAAGCAGACGCAGGGGCTGGGAGTTTGAACCTGGGGCCTGCTGAGCCGGCCCCGCCCCCAGGATGCACTGAGCTGGTGACTGAGATTGGCATGGTGGAGCGTGCCTGTAATCCCAGCTTTTTTGAAGCTGTAAACAGGAGGATCACTAAGAGTCCAACTTACACAGAGAGACCCTGTAGATCTTGTCTTAAATACAAAAATAGAAAAAAAGAAAGAAATTATTTCTCTAAAATTCACTCTGTCTACATCTTTAAAAAGCTACAAA